GGGGTAAGGAGGTGGCCAGGCTGGAAATAAAAGTAGCGGACTGCGTATAACGCTCACGGAATGTCGTCCCAGCGCCCCGCCCCGCCCCGCCACACCACGGCGCATTACATTACTCTTGCTGCCAACCCCTCCCACAAACACCCCCTTCGGCACTTCCTCCTGCCGCGGCGTCGGCGTCGCCTCCACGCCCCGCCACGCCTCATGGAGTGCCTGCTCGTTGACATTTCTTTTCCACTGCGGCAGCAGATTGCGGCCTGGCGTGGTGTGTCTGCCAGCCCTCCGCTCTGCGCTACACCTACATTTAATTAATTAATCCTACCCAGTGCCCATCTACCTAATCCATCTGTACGACGTAATCTGATTCGGAGCAAGTATGACGCGCAGTCCCGCTAATCGACTCTAAACGCGCAGCGTCAGGTCTAATCCCCGGCCGTGTATATAATAGTGTATACCCGAAGGGGATTAGCATAAATCAGGCATTTGTCCCCTGAAAAGGGAGCCGAGAAGCCGAGCAGCACAGTAGTCGTTATATTGCATACAAAATATGGAGACTAGTCGCCAGCAGCGGCGGCGCCACCGCGCGCGCGCTCCGGGGGGCTGGCTGGCCGTGAGCTATTTCCGTGGCGCAGGGGATGGGATTGGAAAGGGAGGAGGAGGAGGGGGGGGGGGTAAAGGATTAGTATGGGCCGGAGCGATGTTCTGCGTACCGAGCAACGGAGCCAAGCTACCCGCTCACGCTCACGGGAATGGAGCAATTACCGAGCAGCCGGGGCTGCGGCCGGCTCAGCAGCAGGGCCTTGGATAGGAGTATGGGCGTACCACCTGCCCCCTCTATAGTCCGGCGCAGTCCCTACCCACCCTGCCCGTGTGTCTGTCTGTTTGTCTGTTTGTTGGCAGGGCTCGGGCCGCGAGGGCCGACAGCCCTTCGGCGCGCCGAGGCTGCAAGTCCTTAGTGCGCCCTTTGGGATCGATTAGGCCGGAATATCGCAGGAAACGGTGGCCGCCTGCCTGCCTGCCGGGTTAGAGTTAGGCCCTGAGGGCGGGGGTGGGCCTGCTCACGCTAATGCTCGGCGTGAGTCCGGCCCGCAGCGTTTACCGCCACTTGGTCGGAAAAATCCATCCCGGAAATTCGACTGCAATTCATTCGCTGACGAAGCTCGCTGGCGTTAAAGCGTTGCCCCTGCCCCTGACACTGACGTGCTATCTTAAGTTATTTCGCCGCGTCCCAGGTCACCGGTGCAACCGGTAGGCGCCGCCTTCGGGGCAGG